CCTCTGGTGGGGGAATAAATAGTCATAGAATACAAACAAGCCTTTTTCCATTTCTGTCTTCAGGTAATTTTCTTTTTTGCTATCTGAAACAGAAAATGAAACAAATAATTTTTATCCCCTTTTGACACTAAGAATGAGAATGGCTTTGTATTTTAATTTTTATTTCAGTGTTTTAAAACAAAAATCAAATAACCACTCGTTTCTTGTTTTTTAATACCCGTTTCCAAAATGACAATCCAATGACCAAAAGATACACTGACCCAGGAGCTCCCTCTAGTGGTGCTCTGACGCCTCAGTCATTTCTTCCTGTGGCTGCAGACCTCACACACCTGCTCTGTTGTTCTTTGGTCTCATCAGGGTCCATCCTCACCTCAGAAGGTCAAAACAGGAGTCGACAGCAGAAGCAGCTGTTTGACGTTGGTAGACATTTTCTGTCCTTTTTTTTTTTTACTTAAATCTTTATTGGTGTTTTTTTTAACAAACATACAACAAAAATTGAACAATGAGCTGCCTGTTGAGAATATAATTTGACAGTTTCACAAATTGGTACATATAWCTATTATTTAGTCCTCATTCTGTATTTAAAGTCTTATAGAGGGTCCATTTTCCCATTTTTTTCACAATTGTGCTTCTTGTAGCCTCTGTATGTGTGTCAGTTTTTCCATCAAGAATATTTCTTCTATAATTGTTATCCATTGAGCTTTCATTGGCGTTGTTTCCTTTCCTCAGTTCTTGGTGATAGTTTTCTTGGCTGCTACCAGCAGTATTTTGATCAGGTAGTCATCAGGAGTGGTCATAGTTCTTTCTGAGAATCTGCCAAGATATAGAAACAAGATACTAAACAAGTCCTTAGTGATCCATATCCTAGTATTTTCTGTGATGGTGGTAGATATTTCATAGAGACATTGTTACAAGAAAGAAAGACAACCAAACACTATCAGTGCTTTTTGTGCTCTGGTTGTCTGTTTGTTAGCAGGATATCTTATGAACCCCTGATTGGATTTTATTTAAACTTTCACAAAGTATTCACTAAATTTACATCTAGAACTAGAGATGTCCTGATCCAGTATCAGATATGGGATATATTTGCTTACATCTAAAATCTCCGATACAAGCACCATTTTTATTTAGTTTAATTGTAAAATATTCTTAGGTTAMAGTTAAAAACCTATATAACCCATTGGTTAATAATAAATGGGTCAGTTGTTTACTGTTGTTCAGTGTTTGACTTGATCAAGACTTTTTGAGGTTCCACACTACAAAATTAATAAAAGTACATGTGAGTTGTTCTGATATGGTATCAGGTCGATATCAGTATCAGCCAACACTGAAGGCTGCAGTATGGTATCATATGAAGTGAAAAAGTTGTGGTGTGTATGCTCCAGCATGTTACACGTCAAACAAACMGTTTCTGTCTCTGAGACATGAAACACACCACCAGTCTGAGGCTGTATTTTAATGGATGTGAAACAGATTTTAAACTATTCACCAGTTTTTAAATTGTGCTGACAGGTCATGTGAAACCAGAGYTATTATAAATAATTCACCCCACATCTTTTTTTGTTTTAATTAATGTCATATTTGAAGCCGGTGGCTACAGTACATATAAAATGCCTCCATCTGCTCTCAGCCTTTACCCTCCACCTCCGCTGAATAATAAGACATCCAAACACAGCCCGAACTTTTGTATCAAATATATAAAAATCTCCATTCAGAAGAAGAAAGACATGAGACAGAGGCAGCTCAGAGACAGTTAATGAGTATGAGGATGGAGAAGTAACCCGCCTTCGATACTGGATATGCAGAATGAAAAATATTGGGTGTAGGATGGGAACTGGGTCCTGCTGACGTGAACTGGAGTGTTGAAGGAAATCCAGATCCTACCAACAAGTATTCCATTGAGGAACCAGATCTGGGAAAGCTGAGGGTGGATCAACCAATCACAGGAGCCGAGCAGGATTTGTCAAACTAGTTGGCTGGGGTTCAGTTCACCTTAAGTTCAGTTGGTTAAAAAATGTATCAGTTGTAGATATACATCCAAAGATTATTTTCTGCAAGTTTCCTTTCATTTTGTTGATTTAAAACAAGGATCAGGTATTTGTTTTTGTAAGTTTAAGCTTACCTTTTACARTTAGTGTAGTTATAGTGAGTGATGGGAGGACTCACCTGATCTGACTCATTTTGTTTCTTCAGGTTGGGGATGTTCACTGCATTGATGCCAGACTCTTCGGCAACATCGGCCGCTTCATCAATCATCTGTGTGAGCCCAACCTGCTGGCTGTGAGAGTGTTTACCATGCACCAAGACCTGCGCTTCCCAAGGATAGCCTTCTTCTCCAGCAGGCCGGTCAGAGCAGGAGACCAGATAGGGTGAGGGGAGAGAAAACATCCCTCTCAGCTCTGTCAGCAGGCTTGTTATAACAACTGAGTGACATCACTGAAGTCTGCTGAAACAGTTCAAACTAAAAGAAGCAGAACATTAGCTGAAAGAGAAATGTAGCCAAACACTACCAAAAACAACAGAGGCTTAGCTCAGTGTAGCAAATAGCTCACTAAAAACTCGTAGCTAGAAGCTTGCTAGAATCAGCAAAATGGCAAAAAAATTGCAAAAGTCAAGTTATAGAAAAGAATTTAGAGATTATTATTAAAAAGGCTAAATAAAAACCAAAAAGGAGCAAAGACTGGCTAAAGGTAACACATTAATAGCCAGTGCTCACAGTAGCACAGGGGTATCAAACTCATTTTCACTGAGGGCCACATGAGCGTTATGGTGGCCCTCGACGGGCCAGTTGTAATGAACTTTGATGTTTCATGTTTAACTTTGACTAAACAATGTTTTTTTTTTAACATGTCCTCTTTTAAACGCAGATAAGTACTATGTGTACGACTGACTAAATCTGAAATAAATAATGCAGAAATATTAAAAGTCAAACAAAGAGTTTTACTCACTGATGAGTTTCTGAGTAGCTGCCATCTTGAATTCTGAACTCTCCCACTTTCTGACAGGGAATTCCCATGAATGATCAACATGCATTATGGCAGATGTAGTTAATGGTTGATGCTGACTTTAAAGCAGCTTTTTTTCCCCAGACATTAAAGCTGTGCTATGCAACTAAATTGCTCAGTTACAACAGCTCAGGGGCATGACAATTATTATCTTTTACCTTTTTTAATTTGCTTATTTTGTTTCATTCAATCATAAATGTAAAGTTGCTATAAGAAACAATAGTCATATTA